TTTGGGGGGGGCCCTCCGAAAGAGTGTGTGTTGGGAGGGTGGAATTGAGGTCTCTGAAGAAAGGCCCCCCAAAAAACTCCCACTAATACACGCCTAAGGTGGAGGGCCTGGTTTGCCCCCATGAGAGATTTGGGGGGGGCTTGGGATGGCAGGAGGAGACTGATGGGGGTATGTCTTTCCCCCCTCCCAAACTAGGCCCCAAACTAGAGCTTTGAAAGAGCCTTGGGTGGGGGGGGAAGGAAAAGGGGAAGGGGGGCTTGATTTGGAGGGGGAGAGAGGGAAACCCCCCCTCCAGTCTGGACACCTGGGGGGTATATGGGGGGTCTCTGGGCTTTGAAATGGGGGCACAATCCCTGACAAAGGGAGCTGGGAAAGGACGGGGGGGGCTCCCACTCTCCTAAGTAGACTTTGCCCCCCTTCTCAAAAAAAGAAAGGGGTGTCAGAGGACAGTCGCCCCGCCCCCCCAGTTTACAGAAAGGCTGGTTTAAGAGCTTATCTGCTAAACTCCCCCACCCACCCCATTTGGAAGTTTAGGAAGGAAAGAGGAACATAGTATGGGCGGTTGGGGGGGGCAGAAATTAATGGGTAAAAAAATTCAGTTTTGTAGGAAGGAGAAGAGCTAGGCTCTGACTCAGAACCACCGTTGCTTGGGGGGGTTCCCTGAAATTTGGGGGGGGGAGAGAGGATGCCCCCTTTGGTCTTCCATAGTCCCTTTTTAGGGAAGGCAACCCCTCCCATTAATATATGGGGCCTAAGCAGCTGGCTGAGCTTGGATGACAATTCCCATCGCCCTGGTGTTGTGGGTGCTGGAGTGCCAGCAGGAGGCTGGTCCAAGCAGAGATTTGGGGGGGGGTGAGGAATGTATAAAATGGCATAGGGGTTGCAAGTTGATGGGGCAAAAAAAAGGCCCTCCCTGCATATCTTATGTTCTGCATCAATTTGGAGTGGGGGGTTTGCCATTTAAAGAGTAATTCGGCCAATAGTTAATCCAGGGGATGTCACTTAAGATGCTGGCATCAGTCTCTTCCCGTTTTCCTTTTTCAAAGCAGTCTAGGAAATTAAACACCCCCCCAAAGATTCTGAGCGGGGAGCAAGTCATGGGCAAGGGGGGCCCCTTCAGAAAGATACACAACCGTTCAGCTTTCCAGCCTTCAAAATGGGGGGTGGGTTGCCTTTCCCCCCAGTTCAAAAAGAAAGGTAGTAAATCGGGAGGGGGCTCAGAGGGTGGGCCAGGAGGGGAAATCTCCTTACTGATTTGAGGGAGGAGGGGCTTGGATTGAGTTGTGAGGGGGGGTCAGGAAGAAAGAAGCTTTTCATTTTGATTTTTGTATGTTTTTAATTAGTCGTTACTGATATGGAGTATTAAATCGTGGCAGATCATGAGAAAACAGGCCATGGCCTAACCCACCCCCGGGAAAGAAAAGGGGGGGGGAAGTGTGTTTCAGAGTCTTTTGTGAGGGTGCAACAAAGCTGTAATGTGGAAATGGGGAAGATTTCAGGTTTTTTTGCTGCAGCAAGGGGGGGGTTAATATCTTTCAAAGGCTCCAGTTTGGAGAGGGGAGGTTTTTTTGTTTTGTTTTGTTTTTTGGAAACATCTGGTGCTTTTGAATAAGATGGCTGTAGAAGCCTCTGGGCCACACAGGTCTCTTCCTCCAGGTAGGATCCCTCCTCTGCTCTTTTCTGCTCCTTCAACCTGCCCTGGTAGGGTATTTTCTCCCTTCCTTCTGAGAAAGAGAGAGAGAGGAAGTCGGCCCTTGACGTCAGCTCTTCCGCCCACTTCTCTATCAGAAAAACCCTCCGGCTTGAGACAGACACCCGTGTGACCCTGAAGCTTGCATGCCTCCCGTTTGGGCCCAGATGGCTTCAGAGTGAGCCCCACGGGTCGCAGCGGTTTGGGGTCCACGTGGCTGAGCTTCACAGAGCTTGTGCCCCCTTTCTCTTCTGCCCCATGGGGGGCAAAAAAACCCACTAGACAAACAAATGGACCCCATCACCACCCTCAGGGTTCAGCTGAGAGCATCCGCATGGAAATAAATTTAAGGGAACGAAGGAGGGGCTGTTTGTTTGCTGCTTTCCAGCCTCGTTGTGGTGCAGACGGCCGGACGGCTCGGGTTTCCTGGGGTGCTGCCAAGTCCTGTCCTCGGGACACTCTCCTGGAGTGGGGGGGGTGTTGCAATACGGCCCAGTCGCTTAAAGCAAAACTCTTTGGGGAAACTTTTCCACCAGACGGGGTGGGGGGGGAGAGACATTGCAACCTTCCCTTGCTCTGGTGGCCATCAGTGGCATGCATTTTAATTTCTAAAAAATTAAAATAAGGATCTTTATCCAAACCTCCCTCCCTGCCCCCCCCGAGCAATTTGATTAATTGATTGATTGATCGTTTTAGTGCCAGAGCCATCCTGGATGACCCCAGCTAACAATGAGGGCCATCCAGGACTTGGCTGTGGCTCTAATTTTAACATGGGAGGGGGGTGAGTTAATCAGTGGGCCACAGCCTGAGCCAAGAAGAAGGGAGCTGTTCTGGCCCTTAGCGAGCTGATCAACCCAGCATAGATTAATCAAAGCCATGTCTCATTCACAAGCGTGTATCCGCAGTAGGAAGTGTCAGGTGTCTGTCAGGTTTGTTTCCGGGGCTCAAAGGGGAAAGTGGCTCGTGTTTGCATCCCAAAAATGGCTGCTTATTGGGGGGGGGGTCCAGCGGGATCCAATCCGTCACCCAAGAAGGGCAGGCCATCTGTCTGTGCATCTGTAGATAACACAGCCCCTCACCACCTCCATGCCCCCCCAAATAAATAAATGGCTGCTTTTGGGGGGGGGGTCCAGCGGGATCCAATCCGTCACCCAAGAAGGGCAGGCCATCTGTCTGTGCATCTGTAGATAACACAGCCCCTCACCACCTCCATGCCCCCCCAAATAAATAAAACCCCAACTGAACAGCCAGCAACGGGAGGGGTTGGCCGCTTAAGCCCCCCCCCTTCTCGGTGGGACCTAGTTCGAGGCTCTTGGGCAACTGCGCTGTTCCCCTCAGGTTTTAGAAGAACAATAGCCATGGGATGTTATGGAAACTTGGAGGTGAGGGGCTGAATGGCAACGTGGCACCGGAAGCCTTTTGCCCCCTCGGCTCGGTGGCCCCAAGCCTCACCACCTGCCCCATGACAGGTTCGGGAAGCAGCCTTGCTCCGAATCCTACTTAACGTTTGCTGTGCCAGGAAGAGAGGAAAGCCCCAGGCATCTGGACAGTTACAGTTTTCTCACGGCTCTTCTGTCCACAAAACCACAG